CTGACAACACTTCAAGACAGGGCCTTTCAGTTTTTGGTGAGACACAAAAGGGAAAGGGTGAGGAAAAGCTGACGAGGCCTCTCTTTGCTCTGGCTCAAATTCTCTGAAAGGGCCGGCACCAAGAGAAGAACCAGATTAAGAGCCAACAAAAGCAGAGTACCCCCACAAAAAGCAGCCGTGCACCCCTACGGTTCCCCTCACCACTCTTCTCCTTATAAAACACCCTGGGCCCCCAGGATGTGATAAAAAGAAGCGTCCTTACCCACAAAAACGTATGCAAAGAAAGTGCATGTACAAAGGCCATTTGCAATTTTACAAAATGGCAGACATAATGCTTTTACTGAAAAATGAGGGCCTGCCATATTGTGTTGGGGAGGAAAAAGTATGGCAGCAGAGGAAAAATAGAGAAAAATCATGCTGGCCTGGTTTACGACAAATAGATAGCTCTATTGATTTCCCTTTTACAGTGACTGTCCATCCCTCACTGTTGTGATTACACTGACCTATTTCAGAAAAAAAATAGCCGTCTATTATAGATTAAACCAAAATGTCCAAAAAGAAAATACTCTTTTTGTGGAACAAACAAATAGAGTAAGATGAAACATAACCTACAGTACAGAGGGAGAAAAAGATTGTGTCAATTTAAGCGTTCAATGTTGCTCTGGGAAAAGAGGAAACAACGAGTTCTAGTACCATGCTGAGAATCAAATAACTTTCCACAGAAAGAGCGGCTGTGCTTAGTGGGGCCCTGCATTGTCAATTTCAATTCCGACAAAAAAGGCAACAACATTAAAATGATTGCAATATTGCTTAAACAACATTTATACATAATAATGCCAATTTTACAAACTTGGAATAATGTTCAGTAAGAACAACAGCGTATAAGATTTATTGATTATTTGATAATAATCTAATGTACTGTATGTGCTACTGTATTATGTTTTTGACTCTAATACACTACAGCACTGTTCAGTGTTGTATGCTTTGTGCTGATGATTCCTCTGCGTCTGTGTGTATTGCTGTGTGTGCTCGTCCTGCTCCACTATGTCTGTGCTGTGCGTCTCACTAGACTATCTCTCTCCGCGTAGCTCAGGGGACTCTGGCTGGCTGATCTTCATTATCAGCCCTAGCTTAACAATGTACTGGATGCACTTCCCACATGAGTGCAACTAACAAATCCCCACAGAGCTGAATCAAGGCAACAATGTGATGAAATACCTTCAAACAACCACTGAGCATGGAACACTGAGCTATGCAGAGACAACTCACACTGCCCTGGGCGATTCCACAGGAGTGCGCCTGTTGCCAAGCAAAATTAGACAGCAACTGGGACATATTATTCTCCTAAATTGGCAATGTACAGCCCTATTAAGGACCATAAATCTCATGTTTGATTAACTAAAAATACCTCATCTCACAGAGCCAATGTATTACCATTCTACAACTCAGAAATCCAAGCGGGATCTGCCATGTCATTTAGAGGTAAAGCAGATGCTTTACAGTGGTAAAAGCTGTCATTGTGCTATGTGAACACAGAGAGCATTATTAGAATTAATAATGCTGTTAGCATATTTTTCAAAATATACATGACACCTCTTTTATGAGAGAAAGTTCAAATCCACAAATGCATGAAATCTACAAACTCTGGGATAATAATTTTGATGGAGTCTCAATGACTGATGACTAATTTCAGTGTAACTCTGCACTGTTTTTCTAAGGCAGTGCAGAAGAATCTAAATCATCTGGTTCCTTTAAAACAGATTGGCTGTACTATTACTATGTGAGTGCAGATCTCTGACGAGAGAAACTCAATACAAGCTGCTAGCAAATAAATGAAGATGCAGGAGCAAGGCCATGTTTCTCAATCAGTGTAAGGAGTCTGTCACCACAATGGAGATAAATATAGGCTAAAAAAAAAAAACTGGGACTCTCTACAATGTATCTGTAAGACTGAAGAGAGGAAGCCTCGTCTGTCTCCTTTTTCTCTTTTTCTGGAGTTACATTTGTACTACTGCCTCCCTCTGGCCACTCTATTTCCAATTTAAACTCTCACACACTACATATGGTACACATTAATACAGGGGGTTGGCAGAATAACACCTGTGAAATATAATGAAATCAAATACAAATAGCAATGCGTGAATAGTGCTTGAATAATAGTGAACAGTTCCTTTGTGATTCTTCATCTTTTCTTAAAACTGCAAATTCAGGTCTTTGGTGATATTTGAGGACACATTTTTGGTGTTTCAGCACTGTATTTTAATAAACAAAATAAACAAAAAAATGTTTCTGTTATTAAGACATATGTACAATTCATCTTGCATTAGTATCTTGTCTTTTACAAAGCAAACTGTAAAAAATATGCAACTTAATGTAGTTATATAAGCCTTTTTCTTGTTGTGTATCATAGTCAGTCAGACAATTAGTTCATTGTACACATCTACAGCTGCAAAAGAGAGAGAGAGCATTAGCTCTTGGTAATCAGGAGATCTGCTCTGTTAGAGGAAGAGCATCCTGGCTACACGACCTGCGTGTGTGTGTGTGTGTTAGCTAGCTCTCTGCTATTTGAGCCATGAGACAGAGCCCCAGACGGCTGATGGTAGATTAGAGGTGAGACGTCTAATCTCAGTGTAATCAGCTGCTGCATCTGATACTCAGCTCCACACCATCTCTCTCAACAGGTCCAAACAGAAACTCATCTTGAAGCAACACAGACTCGCTGAGGTAGGAGAAGGTGATGGCGTATATCTGGTGTCCACCATCAAAGTGAGAGAAATAAAAAAATTAAGCCTCTGATCTTTTTCTGTCATTTCTTTTTGGAACAGGAAGTTTTAGGGATACATCAACTGATACTAAAAGTCCACATA